GCAATTTTCATTGAGAAATTTGGAGTCGTTTTTAAGAAAATGGCGTTTAAGCGTTGTTGTAAGTGCGATATTTGAAGCTCATTTTCACAGAAATTTTTTGAGTTTTCGAAAAACTTGATTGGAAGTCATTTGACGCACTTGTGCTTGCAAATGCGATAGTGATTATAAATCGCCGGAAATGTTAACGGCGTAAAATATATACATTTGTGTAATTTAAAAAAAAACATTATACAAAAAAATGAATTTTATGTCATCTCAAAGAGAGCAATTAACACAATATGCACGAAACCTTCGAAGAAAAAAATTGAAGTGGAAAATGTGGAGTTTTGACTTCATTTTCACAGAAAACTTATAATAACTAATAAGAAGCCCTTCGCCTAATTCCGCTCAAAGGTCGGCCAGCTCCAAGGCGCAACTGGTAGATCACTGGGCGAACCCCGCAACACGGACCTTGAATTGAATTGAATTGAATTGAATTGAATTGAATTGAATGGAATGGAATTTGCCTTATTTTACGCGGCGAGACTCGGGCCATCAGGCCCGCTCTTCCGTCTGACTCCGCAAATTTCGCTACGCTCCTTTCATCAACTAGCAGAGGGAAAGGACGTATTTCTTGGGCGAGAAACAGGCGATTTGAATTTAGCTCAGAGGTGTCATTTAGGCTTGAGGATCTTTTACATGCAAGTGAATCTACTAACATGGGACAGCCGGCTTTACTTCCCCTCCGAAGGAAGGGAAGCTTAGCACCGCCTACTCACTGCCTCCACCTTGAAGCCAACGACGTGAGTACCGCCAAAACCTAGGCACCCTGACAGGAGGTTCATGCTCTCTGTCTGAACTTTTGTACATGCGTTTGGGCCAGCCGCCCTGCTGCACAAAGGATGGCTAACAAGCCGCCTGCCCAATCCCGTGCAGTTTGGTGGAAAGACACCTACTCACTGCCTCCGCCTTGAAGCTAACGACGTGAGTACCGCCAAAACCTAGGCACCGTGACCCGGGGGTTCATGCTCCCCGTCTGGACTTTTCTATATGGGACTAGGCCAGCCGCCCTGCTGCACAGAGGATGCTGGTTAACGAACCTCATGCCCAATCCCGCCCACAAGTCGGTGGCGAACCGCCTACTCACTGCCTCCACCTCAAAGCTAACGACGTGAGTGCTGCCGTGAAACTCAGGATTCGGGTGGCCGTTTACAAGACTCCACCTGAAACCATAGTCGCCTCTGCGGTCATGATTCCTCCCTTACATACAAAGCTTACAAAGCTACCTGGACTCTCTAAGGTTTGCCTCCGCCAAGTCACCTGAAGAGAGTCTGTTTTGGGCGACTAAAAGTCGCCGCCGAGAGGACCGGGCTTTGAAGCGCGTCCCAGAAGACCGCCGGCGCCTCCCCGCGGTGCCCGCTCCTGTCTCTAGTGGGCGCCGCGGGAAGAGCTGTGGGGAGAGGTGAACCTTGATCCGGATCATTCTGAGGGAGACCTTCGCCCAATCCCGTCCAAAGGTCGACGCGCCAAGGGCCCAACTGGTAGGTTTCCAGACAAATCCAACAACACGGAGCTTAGCATCGCCTACTCACTGCCTTCGCCTTGAAGCTAACAACGTGAGTGCCGCCGTGAAAGTCGGGGTCCGGGTGGCCGTTTACAATCCATCAAGAACAGTGACCCCGCAGGCAATGGTCCCCCCCCCCTGCGGGGTCATATAAAAGTATATTATTACGAACAAAAGTATAACTTACATAGTAACTGCTCAAAAGGTCGGCTGCATCTGGCTGCGACTGTTTGAACTCGCGCCTCAGCCGCCGCCAGAAAATTCCTGAAACAATGGACAGCGTGCAGTGTGCAATTGGCAACGGAGCCCATATTATACAATATTATCTGACCCACATTATATAGTACTCTCTGACCCATAATACATAATACTCTCTGACGGAGCCAGGCCATGTTTGAATACACTCAAATTTTCAACCGTGAAAGCAGCGTTTAACACAATTTTAGAACCAAGTGGAAGTCGTCCATTATTTTTTTTTTGCCGAACAATGATGTGAACGGTACGCTCGCCAGTGCTCCTATTTAAGAAGAAAACATCAAAATTTCTATTTTCATCTGAAACATCCCATCGAGGGGTTGTACTTTAATCTACATTATACTTGTCACGAAACTTTCAAGCAAAAATATTTTCGGATAGTCATTAAAACGAATAAAGCCGGTCAGACGACCGAGATCGTTAGGGCAGTAGAGCTGTAGCGGTTTCGGACCTGAAGACCGTAGTTTCGTGACCCGCCTTGGGTATGGGTGTATTTGTGAATGTGTGTGTGTACCGCCCTTTCATCCTTCACCATCATCACCATCTCATCGTCCATACCTCTAGGGCTAACAACCGTGGGGGATAAAAATCGGGATTCAGCTAAAATGCTGAACTCCCCCCCCCCCCAGGAAGGTGCGTGCACCTGCTGAAGCAGAGGGTGCACGCGTGGTCCGAATTGGCTTACTCGCGGAAGGAAAAACAAAACAAAACAAACAAACAAAACGTATAAAATGGTATCGCAGTATGAGCTAAGTGTAGCCTGCGAAATTTTACAAAATCTGAAATAAGACAAAACCACTTGTATTTCCCCCTATAAAAATTCGTCTCTGGATCTGCCCCTCATTATGTCATTGAATAGCCTTTCGCAAGGGAATCGGTCACAGAGCGCTCTGTGGTCTTATATAACTTCAAGCGGTTCGAATTGTATTCAAGAGGTGACGCTGGCAGCAGTAACAACTTCGGAACGAACTTCGTATTACCCCCAAGAGATGGCGTTGGCGGTGTAAAGCAAACTTCAAAAATCAAGTCCGACGAATTCTAGTCTAGAACATACCGTGTATTCTGAAAAACCTTACAAAGATTGCCAAATAAATTTAAAGACAAAACTAATTATTATTAACTCCAAATTTTACACACATCGCTACTTCCGCCTTTTACTTTCGTTTTTTCGTGATAAATGTTATATACCAAAAGTCCTGAGGTTTTGACTTTGTCGATATGAATGCAGAGAAATGTTTACGAGATAGATCACTCAATTCGGCCAAATACTGCATAAATTTTGGATTTATTATAAATGTTTTCAAACAAATAATTGAACGTCTCATACATGGGGCCTATACAAACCAGTGGTTCCTAAAAAATGCACAAACTTTTTTTGGTACAAAGTTATACACCATGATAATGAATATATTGTGAAGTATCTCTAATATTTCAGCTATCGGGTGCAATCTCTTTCCGTTGAACTGTTTGAAACACTGATCATAAGTTTTACCAAACCTACTTTAAATGTAAAATTGATATTTTTTCTGCATGCTTGGCCAAGAATGTGCTTAGCAACACAATTTACCTCAATGACATTCAATAGCATTTGCTTCCATACCAACGATGTCAACTATGTTTATTTGGCTTTAATAACTATTATCTTAATACTCTTTAATGTGGTCAATGAACTCAATAAATTACGTTTTAATAGTAATTAATAAAATTAATGGATGAAGAAGGATATATTAGCACTTCTGGTATGCTAAAAAAAACATGACACTAACGATTGCATACATCTCATTTTGGCTGAATTTTAAGAATTATTGAAAATTGCAAGTTTTTCAGTGCCTTCCCACAACTACTCATGGATCTTGAAGATTGTCTTCATGTTACATATTTATTTCATAATAAACTGTCTTCTTCAAAAAGAGATCTTTAAATAAGAACATTACAATATGATAAAGAATTTCTCCTGAGTGAAATCTGCTCAAAAAATCATGTACAATTTTTTCAATAAAGAGTATGTTTTGGGTAATTTTTTCTTGAAGTTAAGGCAATATGCAAAAGCGTTTCTCAAAAACATCAGGATTGAAATTTCTGAAAAAAAAAGAAAGAAACGATTTTTTGTTTTTATTGTAAAATAATGTTCTATTTTTCTTCGTCCAAAAATAGTTGAATTTTTATGTTCTACCATTATTTAAGGTGTATGGTCATTTAAAAGACTTGGCCAGGTTAGCAGGATTCTAAATGCTGTAAATGCTCTTTCCTGAAAATTTAGTTATAGTGTACCATCTTGTATTTAAAATGTTTTTTGCTGAAGCTGCTTTCATTGTAATCTTACCAGATTGCAATGAAACTTTCAGAAATTGCAGTAAAATAGGCAAGTACAAAGAATATACCACACAATCATTTTATTATTAGTCTGGAAATAATCTTTCTGTGGTTTGAATAGACGGATAATTTCCAGTCTTCAAAAATTAACTTAATAGACTTTTAAAATATTTCAGACAATAATATCACCAAACATAAAACAAAATTCTTTAGTACAAATTGTTTAAATGTATGTTAATATTTAAAAAATTGCAAGAAAAAAGAAAAAATGTTGTGCAAAGAGCTTTTTTATCTTATTTAAAACAAAATTTAACAACAATAATAACAAGAAATTGGGTTGAGCTATATTGTTCGAACTTCACTCAAAGTTAATTATCTTAACAAGTCTTCCATAAAAGTTTAATTTATGAATGTAAAAAAATATAACCATTGAAAAATTCTGTCATGGACCCCTTTAAATACTTTCATTCGATAGAGCAAAAGATGCATAAAAAATGAGGCAGGTTTCATTTTTGTTAACTCACTGAATTGCAAAAATTGCAAATAATCTATAGAAGTATGTGCTGTTACAGTCTTATTAATTTAATAACTAGTGAAACTACAACAGCACAGTACTTATCATATAAACAACGACAATATCACACATTCCAGTCAACAAACACTTCAGAGCTCATTTGGATATATGAAACGATACAACTTAATATTACATAAACACTATTTTACTTTGAAAATACAACATGTTTGTTCATAAAGTAATTAAAAGAAATAATTACCTATTTAAGACTAGACTGCATTAAAAAATAAATCTCTTACCTTCAACATTTTCATCATCAACTTTATTACAACACTCCTCAATAACTTGATTATATTATAGTTTTTTACTTGTAGTATTTCTACAAATGGATATAATTTAAATATAGTAAATTAAAGGTGTTGTCTGGTATCAAAAATTTATTTTGCTCATAATCGTTTCGAGCGTGTAGCGGTCACCCTCAAGAGCTTGCAGCTTCTGGCAAGAAAACAAAGGTCTACCGAAAACAAAGTTTGTTTTCGACCTGGAAACTGCAAGTTCTGAGGATGATTGCTACATGATCGAAATGATTATTAGCAAAAAAAATTTTGATACCAGACAAAACTTTTAATTTGCCAAATTTAATTATTAGAAGGTATCTACCTCACCAGTATCTAATTAAGGATATAATATTTCTTGCTTGGGATTGACTCGCAATGCCTTGTTTGGAGAATGTAAAATGGTAAATTTTAATATCTGAATAGTTTGCAATAAGCTTTAATAACCATTGTAAAATAACATTGAATCATAAATTATGGCTGAAGCGGGGGATTAATCTTGGAATTCTTAAATTTAAATTACAAAAATTGCATGCTGCACCTTTTTCTATGCCAATGACATGATAATGATGGTCAATTTTTTTTTAAATTGATACTCTATAAAAATTGTATTTGTCAGGTATTACAAGAAGTGGCATTTCTAATGATTTAATGAGTATCTTTATTTATTTTTAGATAATCAATAAACAAGTTTTCAAAAAAAAAATTGCACTTTTTTATATACTACTCATATAGATCATTTCACTTAATATTTATATGCATCAACAGGTGTGAAGAAACAATTAATATATTTTTGGCTGAAAAAAACAAAAACAACAAATTTTAATGATATTTATTTGAATGAAAGAAATAAAAATAAAAATACACAGTTATTACAGATGTCATTATTGGAATAATGTAAATGCAAGTGTAAATAAAAAATATGTAGCAAGTACAAAATATGGATGGAATAGAACATGTTAATATTACATATTCACAACAACACAAATAAAATAAACATCCCCATTGTGTGTGTGTGTGTGTGTGCGTGCATGTGCGTGTATGTATGTATGTGTGTTTGTGTGTGTGTTTGTTTGTGTGTTTGTGTGCGTGCTTATATATAAAAGCTTCAAGGAGAAAGGGTCTCAACTTAGTTGAGAGGGAGCAGATTAACATAAAAAATATTATTTGAAAAAAACAACAATGAAATCAAGGTAAAAACAGGAATAAACAGAAGTGCAAGGGAGAAGAAACATTAAAAAAGATGTTCTCTCATAAAAAGAAAGGCACACGGAACACTTCACAAACTATTAACATTTTTTTGGTATTCTTATTTTAGACCAAACATTATCACATATTTTTGTGAATAATTTAATTCCTACAGGGTGTTGGTGTTGTGTTTCTGAGATTAATGTTGAATATTTTCTAAGTTCATTATCCAAAGTGAACATGCAGTCAAAATTAAAAAAATGAGCAAAATTAAGGTTAAGTCGAGAAATTGAGTTTAATTTTGTGCCATCTCATTATTAAAATGTTATTTTATTCTTTATTTGGGAACATGTTTCTCTGTCCAAACTAAGAGACTAACCAATCACACTAAGGCAATAAACTACAATGTTCTTTATGTTTAAGATATTTTATGAACCTTAACATTTTTAACTAGATTTTGCTTAAGGGGCAATTTATTCCGAATTGTCATGCCAAATTTTAAATTAAAAACTTTTTCTGAAGAAAATTATTTATTCTAGGAACAAATGGTAAATTGCTAGTGTGACTTTGACTGGTAGGAGTTTAGCTTGTGAAAAATGCATGGCCAGTCTAATACTTGGTTGTTTATTATGGATGTTTCTAATGGCTAAGCGTTTTGTGAAGTACTTATGAATAAAATGATAAGGGAAGAACATAGATATCATCTTTTGTAAAAGAAGGGCTTAAGGAATGGCAAGTGCTGCTCTTCCAATCTTCGCGTGACAATTTCAATAAAAAAAGAACTGGGAGAACCATCAATCAAAGTGCTTGTTACCTGATGATAGAAAACAATATCAAATTGAAATTCTATACATGTGAAATAATACACATCGCCATTAATATAATTTCATCTGGATGCACAAAATACAAAACTTTCAGAAGATAAAATTGTAAAGCAGATATGATGAGAGGATGGGGAATACTAGGGAACAGAGACATGACATCTGCGGATATGACATCATGATCAGGAGGAATAGATAATTTTAAGTTCTTGAGATAGTTCAAAACTGTTATGACCACAATTCACTTGAACATTTTGAGAACCTGTTTTAATATGGAATTCAGAAAACTGCATAAATGTTGGTGGGGTGGGCCAATAGCAGAAACAGGTCTCATAAGAAAATCTATTTTATGAGCCTTAAATAAACCATAGTTCCTTGGAGTATAACCAGATGTTGAATAAATCTTATTAAAGACTCTACTATTTGATGTCAATATATTTTAGAGTTTTCTACCTCTCAATAATGTCCTACAATCAGTGGCGTAAGTAGCCGTTGGGTTCTGGGCTAGCTCTTTTTCTCAATACAGTAAGTTTACTTTTTTATATGTTTTGAAATTTCTCGTAAGTAAATATGCTGATAAAGTGCAGTTCAGAACAGTACTATTTCCCTTTAAAAGAAATTCCCTCTAAAAGCTCTTTTGGTAATTTTTATTTATTCATTCAAGCATGAAACCGTCTCAAGAATGTGATATGTCTTTCATAAAATTCTCATCAAGTTAATATTAAAATTCTGCTTAAACAAAATGCTACATCCAAAAACAACTAAACTACATTGATGGTTCTCAAGTCTTTATGTCGAATAACTCGAAAGTTTTGTAGAGAACTATTGTTTTTTGATGCACACTCGTGATTATTTTAAATTGCTAACTAGTTGTGATATAAATATTTTAACTTTGCCATTAAATCTAAAACTCAGTTAAATGAATTGAAACATCGAAGAAAATAATAATACAAATGAGGTATTTTTTTTACTACTACTACCCTCCCCCGGTCATGCATTTTGCAGTGAGTCTTCACTTACAGTTTGAGTAGACTCTGTAGGAGCGTTATTTCTCATACTACAAATAAAAAGTATTTTGCCACACTTATTAAACACATTATTTCTTATTAACTCAATACGAACTTCCAAAACCGGCATTGATAAGTTCAATGGAAATGTAAGTAAATATGAACATGATAATGAACATAAACTGCATCCGCAACAATGCTCCGATTGTTAGTCAGCTCGAGAGCAATCTTGCTTTCATTAAAATAGCTGACTTCTTGTAGCAAAGAAAACTTGGGGCATAATCATAAACACGCGAAGTGGGGAGCGGGTGGAGGCGAAGAAAAAGTGACCCGTTTCACGTGCAAGTGCCGCCGAACAGAGGCGCGTTGTGGAGGAGGGGGGGGGCGGGGTGGCCATCGAGAGGGCGCGCGGAGTCTGGCAAGCGGGGCGGAAAATGCACCCGCGGGCGCCGATGACGGAGGCCCCGAAACACGAGAGGCGCCGGCGACTCTTCGGCGCGTGGCGAGAGAAATGGCAAGTGACAGGGGGGGACCGGATTAGCCTGCACTACACATCTATCAAATATTCTCCACTTACGAATCCGTGGTTTTCGTCAAAAATTAGTTACTCGTGAGCGGGAATATATTTTCAGCAAACGCTGATATCTATAACTACAACACTCGACGTACTAATCATATTCATCGGGTGACAGAATCAATTGCTCACTACAAAAAAATTACATGCAATATATGTACATTAATTTACACCTTGCCAGATGACATTAAACGATTAAATTTGATTCAAAAGTTTTAAGTCCCAAAAAATCTGTTCTGATGCATAAATGTTTCTATACAATTAGACACTATACCGAGCATCAAAAACGAAATTAATATGAATTTTAACAATGATATTTAATGTTTTATTTACCATTTGGACTGTGTATAATTCTAAACAATCTGTAACAAGTATTGTTCCTCAGCTTCTTGGTCAATGACCCCCCAATTCGATGAAGTTTTTCATTCAGTTTCCCTGATCCTTACAGCAAATGCTGAGATGTCCCCGGGTTTTTGCTTCTGGGCATAAATGTAATTATATTATCTATGTACGACTTCTAGAATTCAGGCGGAAATATAATTATTCAAATTATCGTTCTCAATGCCGTAGGAGAAGTATATTCCTGCACGAAGGGCATGCTGAAGGATAAGAACCCAAATCTATAGCTGATTTACCATTAAAAATATATTTTATTACATCGGAGCAAATATTTCGTTAACAATTCTTGCCGGAAACGCTCATTTATTTCTGTTTACAGAATTCAACTTGTTCATGGCTTAGGGTAGGGATCCCAGAAATTAAAGAAACGCGCACAGTATTCACTTCTTCCCTTAGCACGCAACAAACACTTTTTGCTTTAGGTGCTTTTAACATAAAATAAATAAATGCATTTACGCAGAGAATGCTTCGAAAATATGCACTAAAATATGCCTTATAATAGTAGTTCATGCAATTAGTTTATAATGTTAAGCTTTATTGCACGAGTACATGTTTTGATAACGAACGACTTTAGGAGCAAGTTTTCAAATTTGTACGAATGTAATAAAGCAACATTATAAACGAGTTGCATACTATTTTTTTGTATAAGAGCATTATACATTTATAAGAGAATCAAACTTAGTTTTGCGAAACAACTTCCCTGTGACGACTCGGGTATTTGTCATCGTGCGAGTAAACGGTGGTCGGCTGTTCCGTTTAGCTCTACCTCCCTCCGATTCTCTCGCTACGATTGGTTGAATGTGTAATGACGCAATCATCTCGTTTCGTAACATAAAATCTAATACGTCATCATTTGTTTTGTAAAATGCCCGATTGTAAACGATTTCTCGGAACAGAAAAGATTCTTTTATAATGCTGGAATACAAAAAAATAATATTAACAAGTCACTACACTATCACCATAATATTCACACACATTACATTCATTCGGCATTCTCTTCTTACTATACCGCTCAATGAAATTTAGAAGAGAAGTATTAGTTGTATCAGCTAAAAGTTAAGCGCGCCAGGAATGTCTCTTCGAGGTGGCACCTTTCTGGGTAGAGTGCTTGCAGCAGAAATTAGGTTGGTAGCACGAGCTTCAGCTTGAAAACGTAAATTGCGTACTCACAACAATCATAATAGATGCTGAAAGTGTTGTCGCCTTCACTTGTTACCCAGTGGCCTGGTTACTACCAACGAAAATGCAATATTTAAAAGGAGGCCCTGATTTGGCTCAGTGCGGAGAGACTTTTCCGGGGCACTGTATTACTTTGCACAATGAGATGTCTGCCGATAAATACACTGAACAATTTGCATAAGAAATGCGTTTGAACCCAATGACGAGAACCCCTTTAAGTCACCACATCGCGGAAAGAAAAGCCTTTCTTTTTCACGTCAGGAACATTTATAGGGTGAGCCCCTTTGCGAAACGTTACGTGTGTTAGGTCATACCCGTTACCGATTTTTCACAATGGATTCGACGACATGCCATTCTCGAAATGCTAGTGATGTTCCTATTAAACTTCAAACGTAATTCAAATACCTTCTGGTAGGTGCGTATGGTGCTTGGGGCAGAGCTTAATTAGCACCAGCTCATGTTGCAAAGAGATGTTGGGCGCCTCCCGTGCACGTACACGTATTTTCGCTCGTTCTGAGCAGCACCAGCCACGTGACCACACACGCGCTCTTCGTTTGAAATGCCGGCCGCCATGTTGCATAGAGAGCGAGAAACACGAAACATTTTGAAAGTGACATGAAGAGCATTTTTAATAGTGACCAGCCATAACAAATAACACGAAGTTGTAATTGAAATAAAATATGCAATATTTAAATTAAGTGCTACATGTATCTGTTTCAATGACTTGTAACAAGATTGATTTAGGCTAATAAGGATAATTGTGGCACTTAAAATTCCCGCTAATATTGTGACGCAAACTGGTGCCTGAAGCTCATTGTTGAAGTTGGGTACGATGCACAAGAACTCGCCCATCACTTTCCACCAAGCATCTGAACTCAACAATTGCAACAGTTTTCCGTACAGGATGTAAACTGTTGGAATTGCAGAGGGGCCAAGTCTCCCGGAGGCATTGTACGGTAGCGAGGTGCAAGTACAGAATCCAATGAAGTGTGAAGTTTAAAGCAGAAAAGCGCTGCAGAGTTGGTGTGAAGTGAATACAGCAATGGTCCTGGACCCTCTGTCACTCATCAACATGAGAAGGCAGATTTTAAAGGAAACGGATACTTATGAGCTGATACACCATCCTAAGTCCAATTAACCACGACTTGGATGTCATAAACATATCTAAATATCTGAACTGTTTAAGCACTTTAAATCACTCGCAATTTTCGGACACAGCCCTGATCCTATAAACTATCTCCCCGTTAGCATAGATCAGAGTTCAGAAGCCCTCATATAAATATGATTACATAACAGGAAATAGCCCTTCGACCGCTTTGGGCTTGCGAACCATAAATCAGATAAAATTAAGAAATTCTGCGGAACACTTTATATGCACCCGCAATTTTGTTTGCAGAGTATTTGGAGTATAGAAGGATGTAGAGATATATTTAGACGGGTATAAAAGTGGAAATTAATTGTGAAAATATTTAATTATTTGACATTAATCAATTTTTTACGAAAAAATCAGTAAGCAACAGCAAAGTCTATTTATATACAATATTTTTTGTTTTACATTCTGGAGCAAGAACCAAAACGTTTATAGAATCATTCACTTGAGCATGCTATATAGCAAGCAATTGTAGATATCTGCGGTCAGAATCACGTGAAGACTCTCGGATGTCCGGGTGACATTTCGACCCTCACATGATAGTCTTCAGAGCTGCAATGCGCCAGGGCGGTGGGCGTTCGGGGTTGTGCGGCTGTGTTGGGAGCAGAACACGCGAGCTTCACTGCCCTCGACGCCCCATCAAACGGACAACTGCGAGCCTTTACACGCTTTATATATAAGGGCAAGTGTACAATTTTTTAAAAAAAGCATGAAGACTTCAATATGAATGAATATACAATACACAATATGATGTGCAACAAAATTATATAAAAATGTACGCACCTTACTGTATCGTTGTAAAGTAGAAGATGGTAGAGATTTTTGCCGTAGATAAATTGTTTTCCAAAGAAATCAGCTTTTCAAAAAAGGTCAAGCAATTTTTTTGAAGTAATACTTTTCGCGATTTTGGGCTTGAAATTAATGCAATTTATAAAAAAATTCGAAAAGGAAAAAGGGAAAGACGCGAACGGACAGACGAACGGACAGACGAACGGACAGACGAACGGACAGACGAACGGACAGACGAACGGACAGACGAACGGACAGACGAACGGACAGACAAACGGACAGACAAACGGACAGACAAACGGACAGACAAACGGACAAAGAGAAAATATGTATTTCTGTTGAAATTTGGATATCAATTTTTCGCAGTATTTTATTTTCAGTATTACTGTTATTATCAGTACTTTCTGAGTGAAAATCGCAATTAAAGAAACAAGGCCTTTTATCCCCGGCCTCAACTTCTTCTAGATGCTGTCTCTCAACGCGTGGTGCAAACCTCCACTGCTCCAGTACGTAACCAGCGCTCCGGAGACTATTCGCAAGTCACCCGAGAGCCACGAGGGGGGGACGTGGGCGCTCGCGTGGGCGCGTGGCTGGCGCCGGTGCTGGGCCTGCGCTCCGCCACAAGCGGGCGATTGTGGCGGCCGCAGCCTCTGCTTCCCCGCGTCTCCGCTCCGCAGCCCGTTAACGCGCCATTAGGATCGATGCAATGACATCACTCGGATGAAAAGGGGCTCGCGCCGCGACGTGACGTCAGCGCCGCGCCGCCCGGAAGGCACGCGATCCTGCCCTCGGCCGTCACACACGGCCGCCCGCCTCTTGCACTATCAATAAAGCTCACGATTTCTGAATTCTAATGCGATATGCAATGTAATAGAGTCGGCCTACGAGCCTCATGCGGCTCAATGGCACTGAATGCGATTCATTAAATATTTGTAATATTTTTAATGTTCTGTGATCTCTTTTCGTTAATGTTAATTCTGTAAAATGTTCGATATTATATTACGATGAAATAAGTGTTCATTACAATGTACGATTCTATTACGATGAAGTACGTATGTGTCCACACATGAGATGAAGACATCAGTCAATACAAAACCATTAGAACAAAAAATAAACAACTACGAAATATATAATTACTCACACACTTTGAAATCTGTGTGAGTGTTGCGTACAGAATTAACTGTCAACCTGTCGTCCTGCGTAGGGACGAGTCGATTTATTGGTAATTTCCAAATCACGAGTGATATTTACAATAAATACTAATATAATATAATATAATATAATATAATATAATATAATATAATATAATATAATATAAATATAATATACTAATATAAATACTAATAAACTCAAGGCAAATAAAACGGAAGACTAAAACAAGACAAATAAAACAGAATAAAACAACAAATAAGACGGAAAAAATAAGGATGTCTCAGAAAAGTTACAAACGTCTAAGCTCTAGACTATACAGAAAAGTAGAAAATAATGACTTTTTGCCAATTAACACGCCACATTGTAGCAAATCATGTACGTTAATAGCATGTTACTTCTTTCTACGAGAGAAGTACTGAACCAAAATCAATAATCTTGATGTCATTTTTAGTCATTTGAGCTTCGAAACTCCATACCTTCTTTACTTGCTTACGGCGTTTTTAAGAAATACAAATTTAGTGAGGTATCATGGAAATTATGAGTCCTTTCCATCCAACGTCGCTTCCAATATTTATTTTATTTATTTACGTCAAAAACAGTTAAAAACTGTGTGTGACTTTCTATGGGGAGAAGTTAATTTGAAGTTACATTTATGTCCAGAAGCAAAACAAGGGACCATCTCAGCATTTGTTCAAGGATCAGGGAAACTGGACGAAAACATCGAGGTGGGGGGTCATTGATCCCCAAGCTAAAGTACAATATTTGCTATAGGTTCTCTAGAATTATACAATCCAAATTGTAAATAATACTTTAAGTGCCATTGTTAAAATAAATATTACTTTCCTTTTGAATGCTCGGTGTAGTCTCTAATTGTATAGAAACAGTTGTGCAGCAGAAAAGATTTTACTTGGGACTTAAAACTTTTGCATCGAATTTAATCGTTTAATGTCAATATTATGCCATATTTCAGGTGGGAATAAACATTCACGAAGTATACACAAAGAACAGTACGTAGGGTGACTGAATTCCCATGTGGTACAGAGGGAATGCTTCGCACAAGATTGCTCAGTTTGGATCGTGAGAGAAGACAAGAAGTAGTGGTGCTACAGCACATTTTCTCGCATTATTTCTAAATTTGCAATTTTGAAAATTCAGTGTTCAACGAAAATGAGACCCGCGTCATTATTTCAAGTGTCCTTTCATCTATCCGAAGAAAAATATGATAAAGTTTGGACTGATTTTTGAGTATTTATTTTATAAATTGCATTAATTGCAATCCCAAGTTACGCGAAAACTATTTTTTTCAAAACAAACAAACAAACAAACAAACGTACATTACCTTTTTAATGACCTTATTTTTTGAATTCTCCTCCAGACAGCGACTGAATTTGACCAAGCGTCGATACTCTAGCGGTTGTTTTCGTGAGAATGCAGAGCTCTAATTTCATGTACATGTCGAACATTTAGATATCTGTATACGCTTATAACTCCGTGATATGCAATTTCCCACCACATATTGAATGTGGGCAAAGAGTAACCACTTTCTATCATTCTTCATTCACTAGAAGTTTGTAACATTGATTCTGAGGCAAATGTATATTGTGCGATGCAGAAACCAGTAAATAATTAATTAATCTAACCCCGCTTCCTCAGGCAGCAGTACAGTCTGCCTACATTTCCGATCCCAGCAGGTGCCTCAAAATCGTCTACTTCAAACACTTCAGGCACGTTTCCAGCATGGTGGGGTCGATCCATTCACAAGTGTGCTCGATCCGTAAGACGTTGATAAAACTGATAATATGTACAGAGTTCTCTCTATGGAAACTTCCAATTATTTTCAACAGATATTGCAATAGGCCATGATTTATTCCGTTATACAGAGCGAGTCTTATAGATGAAAAAAGAACAGAAAACATTTTTGAAAAAAAATTGAAAACATTGTTCACGTTTCATGCTAAGTGCCCCCAAGAATTAAAATGTTCGTTTCAAATTCACAGGGTCCCGAGTCAACCTGATCGTTTAAGGAATATCAATGTTCGAGAACATATCTGAATGGTTTTCGCGCTAGTACAGACCTCAGATGTACAGACAGATAGACTTAATGTCGTAAACTGATTTTTTTGTTATCAAAGACTTACAAAACTTAGTTTCTGACTACAAAGTTTTCTATTTGCTGATTAAATAGCACTTAAAGACGTGGTAACTAAGAAATTCCTAGGTATTTTGGGACCTCCAGGGGACTAAGAAGTTCCAATTCAGCACT